ATGCGGGGTGACAAACGTTGGGTTTACTTCCTCAAACTCCTGAACGAGATTGACCTTTCTAAGTGCGAGTCGGTATGTCTATTTGTCGACAAAGTCTTCCTGCCGTCACCACAGAGCCAGAACTTGCCGCACGAACGGCAGAACGAGGTGCGCAAGCATGTAAAGGACCTCTTGGTTGAACGCAAAGACTACAAGGACCTTCTGAGGACATTGGATGATCGTGGCCGTCTACGCGCTTCCACCAAAATGCTTAAGAGCTTCACTTGTGAAGATGCCAGCAGCGAGGGTTTGCGTCGGGTCATGCTGAGTCTTTCACGCGAGCTTAAGCGCATCCACCCGGAATCCTTGGAGAATGAGTTGAAACAGACAACGCTGAAGCTTCTCGCTTGGTTTCTAACCGAAGGTCATGAACCTAGCATCAAGACGTGTCTGGATCTCGCGATCGAGCCACAGGAGCTGCTTGCTGGGCTTGATCGAGAGAAGGCTATCAACCTTCCGGTGCGGTGCACGACCCCAGAATCTGTCCAGCTGTGCTGCGACAGGCTCGTGTTGGTTCCAAGCAACTTACTGTCCGTTGAATGCGGTAGGCTGTAGGCTATAGCAAGTACACCTTTATGTAAGCCGTCAACAATGTGGAAGCATCCTGACCCCGACGTTGCTAGGGCAACTGGCTGTTCAAGGGCCCATACCCGACGCAGACTTTCTGAAGGTGGCGGTGATCTCAGCTGAGCTGGCACAGAAGTTCCCGGGGATAAGACGATTGCCACTGTCTCCCGTGCACAACGGCTTCTACCACATTGACCTGCCACGCCTTCTCATGTCTGATGAGCTTGACTGTCTAATTCAACACGTGGAGGTGCTGTGCGGATACAAGATTGCTTTTTCTGTGTTGGATGCTATCGTTTCCCAACACGATCGCGACAAAGCTGAGAGCCGTCATGCGTTCCGAGAGTAGACCTGCCGCCTGCAAGGCGACGATGGGGAGCTGTTCCATCAGCTTGGGAAGCGTCTCTTAGTAGCTGAGTGCATACACTTTACACTTGTTGGGTCAATACCAGCCTCAATAAAACTGAAAGTGCAAACTTTTTGGGGCTTATGAACTCAGCAACTAAGGTCTTAATCCAGAGAAGACATTCATAGATCTATGGATCTTTCCGACCTGACTTCAACCTGGCAGAAGTTGAAGAAGCCTCGCCTTTGCCAGGGCAATTGAAGGAAGGCGCTGAACGAGCGAAGGCTATCCTCGCGGATGAAGAGAGAAGTCGGAAGATTGAGCTTGATGCTTGTCTCTGCAAAGATGTAATAGCAGAGACCATGTCGCAACTATGCGCAGGAGACGTAATCAGAAATGCGCCAACCGCGCTACCGTTCTGCCCCATTGCTGAAGTTCACTCAGATGACTCACACTGCGAGAGCATGGGACATAATCTGACTTTGAAGCTGGTTTATTGCCACCTCATGGCTAACAAGCTTGCTCGCAGCGATGGCCCTGTGTTGGCTATGCGTGCTATGGATACCGATGTGCACAACTGCAGGGCCTTCAAGCAGGCTATGGCAACACCTATGTGGTGGGAGCGATGGGGAACACCCCTTCCTGATCAAAACAAAGGATCAAAAAAACACCAAAAAAAAGGATCCACAGAGACGCCCAATCTTTTCAGATCCGGGTGTGCAGTCTCCTGTGCGGGCGTGCCTTGCTTGAATTGCATGCACTCGAATTATGACCTCCCCTATGGATCAGAGTTCTGGCCAAAGCTCAAGGGTTTGCTACATTTACATGCAGAATACAAGAAGCATGCCGAAGCCGCTATAAGGCTTTGCTTTCAGATGCTAGAGCTGCCTGACCAGTTTATTGAAAAAGCTGAGGGCAGTGATCTGTTCGCCCTGAAAGCCAAAGAGGTGCTACCAATTCTGAGAAGCCGGTTCGTGCAAAGCAAGCCCAGACTTGAAGCCAGCACGCTTCATGCAAAGCTTGGTATGCAGCGGAAAAATTTGAGCAGATTGGGACGATTCGGGTTCTCCTTTTTCATGACAGCTTCGAAAAGCTTGAGGCTAAGGCAAGCGCTCGAGCGGCGGAGGACCTTGGCCCAACCTCAGGAACCAAAGAAGCGCCAAGTCGCAAAGCTGTCTTGCAGCTGCGGGAGACAGGGTGGTTTGCACAGTTTTATCACACGATGGACCTGATCATTCCCGCTGTTCCTGAAGAGAATAGGCTGCTACTACAGGAGCTGCACGGAAACGTCTACCAAGAGCTTCTCCTTCGCATACAAGTTCGCGAGCTTCTTAAGCTTCGCGACAGCCTGTGGCATCCAAATCCAAAGCAGTACACGAACATGTGGAAGATGGTCGAGGAATCTCTTGCCCATGATGCCGTGATTGTTGCGCTGGATCGCCTCGCTCTCGCTTTGGAGCAGCGGATACAAACGTGGGATGCTTCGTGGCGTGCACCAATCAAGAGTGTATGCCAACAGCCCTTGGGGTAAGGCAGCAAGCAACCAGGACCGGCTGTTGGCTGTTGACTTGTGCTTCACAGTGACAAGTGCAGCTGGATGTCTGCTTACTTGCCAGTCTGTTCCTAAGCCTGGCATATTGCAGACAGAGACGTTCACAGTGTCGTCTCGTCGACATAGGCGCTGAGACGTGTGAGATCAATGACGATATGTTGCGTTTTCATCCATGAACCCCTTCACCCATGCGTACTCTTACCCAAATCGACCAAGCAGACAACAGGCCTAGTACAGCTTGCGCCTGTGATATGAACACCGTCTGGGCAGATGGCTCCATTCGTTGTAAATCCGTCCAGACTGTGAGGACAAGTGCCAACGAGAGATGCCCCTCGCTCTACAAATCGTGGAGAGGCCCGCAGTAGCGCTGAGGTTTGCGGTCATCTTAGACCTCCTGAATCAGCTTGCTTCTCGCTATGGTGCTCTGACTGACAGTCATACATCATTCTGTGGATGATGCGTCATGTCTTCTCGATGCGATAGACAGAGCATGTCGTATCAATCTTCTGAAATCTTGGTTGTGCCAGCAACGGTTCAGGAGTGGTGCTTTCTTCGGCTGTAGCAGACTTCAGCACGCCAAACCCTAAAACCCCACACCCTAGACCCCCGAACCCTCAAACCCTACACCCTTAACCGGAAGAGGATGGTCTACAAGAAAACAAGTACAGGAGGCCTGAAGGCCTGCGGGCCACTCAGGTCTTCGGGGTGTTGGAAGGCACCAGACACGCAAAGAGGATCGAAGCTTCTAGAAGTGGTCTAGAAGCTACTTTCCCATTAAATCCCTTGAGACTCCAATGGGACCAAGCACTTTTGTGTGCCAGGCTTTTCTGCTTGGGGTGCTGATTCAGCGGGCTTGGTGAGCATCAGGCCGGGTCCATGCAGAGCGTCTGGACCGTGTATGATTATTTTCCCAAAAGGTCCAAGTACCAATACAGCAGGCCTTTAGTGGTGATTTGGGGCCCCAAAGTGTATACCATAATGGTTTTCTTGGAGCTTTTGGGCTTCTGTGCTTTGCATCGAATTCGTGCTCAATATGTTCGTGCAGAAGGCACTGGACCAGTTGTCAAGTTGCGTGCGGTGTCGGGCTTTTGAGTTGCTCCTCTACCGATGGTAAGTCATGACGGCAATGTTTCAATTAAACGAAGCGAAGGAGAAACTCAACAACTCCCTACATTGTACAGTGTACAGTCCGCAGCCAGCATTGCACAGTACCGGTAGCTGCGGGAGCCATCGCAGCAGCCGTGAGGTTAGCGAGTAACTAAAAAATCAAAGAGTCGTTGCATCAAATGCACGTCTGTTCATTCTCACGTCTGCAGCTGGAGTTCGCAGGTACAATGAGCGTACCAGGCTCTTTCGAGTTGCTCCTGCAATGCAATGAAGAACCATGTCTTTGAAAGAAGCTGGAACTCGAAGGAGGGAGAATCAAGTCTCCCAGCTGTAGCGTTTTTGTCAGCGTAATTCCTGCCGACAGTTTTGCATGGTCATCATTCCTCTTTCTCATTCTCTTCTTGGTTCCCCAGAGCAGTATCTTCTTGCAGTTCTTGATGTCGGAGAAACTGAGTCATCGGGAAAAGGTGCACCGCCTTTCTGTGAGGATATTGGGGAACCAAGCTCTCCTTGTGGACAGCCGGACCCGCACACCTGTGTACTGATCCAGTGGCCTGGTGAAGGGCATGAAGCTCTCTGCGTACCTCCTACTCCCACGCATCCACATGGCAGAAAAGGTTGTGGCTATGTGCGAAATTACTGCTATGAATTCTGCAAGTGTCCTATAGTTTAGTCCTTAGGACCCTTTCGGAATGTAGCATTAAACAATATGTTTAGGGAGCTAAGGAGAACGCTGACCTTGTCGCCAGCTTTCTCCAATCCGTGCATGCGAATCTACTTGCATCAAGGAAGCAAAACGCGAAAGTGCTGGCTGCTGGTGCAAGAGCTGCATCTGCGAGGTCTTGATACATGTTGATGTGGATGGGTTGATGAGTTCTGATCCTCAGTTCTTACATTTGTTCATATTGTGGCTCCCGCCAGGTATGTTGGCAGATGCTTAAATGCATGGTGTTTCTGTTGTGACAGTTTCCTGGAGCTTTTAGCAGGTGTTGATTCTTGTTCTGCACGGTGGGCTGCAACAGCAAAGGCCAACCTCTCGCGTCGTCTGTCACAACTTGTTGATCGAATGGACGTACGGTTAATTACGCACATCTGTTCGTGGAGCCTCATCGGAAATCATTTGTTCAATCGATTCCGCAGAAATCCGCCAGGCGAGAACCCGAGACCCATCAATCCCTGAGAAGCCATCAGAAGCCATGTCTTCCTCGGAAGTCTCTCTTAAGTAGTTATGGGCTGAGGCGCATCCCGGATTTCCCTGCAGCGGCTGGCACGCAGGCTTATGGTGTGTGCTAGGATTCGTCCTATGCTGCTTTTGTTAATTAGACTTACTGGTAGCACTGTATTCAAGGCCTCCACATTCGGGTTTAAATCATGGTGTTGGTGCTTGTATCTGTGTGTATGGCTCCCATTAAAGCTAGCCCTACCCTATATGTACCTTCTTAGTCGTTCGTGCAAGTGTTTCCTAGAACCTAGTAACCTAAGCCAAATGCATACTCTATAGGCATATCGATCCTTGCGTGTAGCAGATCCCAAACCATCCCGATGCAGGGTTTAGGGTCCACGCCTCAGCGGTGTCTCAGCAACTGTTGAGATCGTAGCTTTTACATCTTCGCCCGAAGGATGCTAAGAGTAATTACCGAAATGGAGGGGTGCGGGTAGAAACCGCAAAAGTCGTTCAGTGGCCTTGCGGTTCCTGATTCCGCCTTTAAAAACTTGTGCGGAAGCCCAGAGCGAGGAGGTTCCCTAAAGCAACGCCCAGCAAGCCATAATCCCTGCATCCCGACCCTATGAACTGTAAACTACAAGCCTTATACCTGCTCCTTAGAGGCTCTTGGGTGTTGATTAGTTGCTCCCGTTCTGGGTTATGGTTTGTCTCATAGGCATCTCCAGCAGATATTGTTGTTGGTGTAGTTTCAGGGGACTGGAGCCATAGTGAACTGGAATCCGGGAAGACTAACACGCCAGGAGGCAGCGGCTGCGCTG